GTTCTCAGGCTTGACTGGATTCAGCTTTAATTAGATGTTCTTCATCCAGGTGGTGATTGCAGTTGAGCATTTTAGGGAGACTTCTTTATTAGCTTGCTTAGGAAAGGGAAGTTAGATGTAGGGTAGTAATTTGTGAGACTTCCTGCTTCAAGCACAGGTTCCTTCTAATATTTGTCCCACTGTTGCATGCTTTAGGGCAAACGGTGCTAGTTCCCCTCATCAAAGGCAGTGTTCATAGCATCTGTTAGTTAGGGGTCCAGAGTGGTGTTTGTTTTTACCATGCAGGAAGGAGGCCCTGCCTGCACTTGGACTCCTGTGATTGTCAAATTCCTCGAAGGGGCAATAGTTGCTTTGGGTCCTGCTCTCAGCTTCTTGGTGGCTAAAGAGGGCATCAGGGATGCAGGTGATCTCTCTGCTTTCTCACAGCAAGTGGGGAAGCCGTTGCAGAGGTCCCCTGTAAATCATTCATAATCCCTTACTGGGTTGGCATGGCAAGCCATGTAAAGTGGTGTCGGTGTTTTAAAAAAAAAAACTTGTACTGTATCTACTTCCAAGGCATCTGTTCAAGATAGGCCTTCCTCATAGCAGCTGGTAGTTTTATCCTGTCTGTTTGCCATAGTGTGAGCGCTACAGCGGGAGGGACTGGGTATGGTGAGAAGTCTTTGTACAGAACATGGATTTCTTGGGTAACTTTATCAGGCACTTATTAAATTTGTTATCTTTCAGGATATACTGATGCTGAGGAAATGGAATGCAACTGTCCCTCCCCTGCCTCTCTTTTTTTAAGCTGCAGGTACCCATGCTCAGAATTGAGCCAACACTCTGCCTTCTCCCTCCTCCTACAAAACTACCAGTTGGGATTGATGTAGGGGGTGCACTTCCGGCCTTAATTTTAGCTGGAGTCAAATAAAAATATTGCCATGTTGGTAACTGAAGAAAAGGTAAATGATGTGGTGTATGTTGTTGGATCAAAATGGCAAAAATGTCTTACCCCTCATGCTTCCTCTTTCAGAGGAATGCAGATGTTACAAAAAGCAGTTTTACCAAGTGCCGCATTCTTTTTCTAGTTTCTTCACTGCCTGAGTCAGTATCTGCTGGAATAATTTGTGCTAAGGAGGAGAAATTAGGGTTTTGTTTTTTGAGATGGTTGGGGATATAGAATTGCAGAAGAACAGCTGTCTAAACTCTTCAAATTAAATCTGGCCTAGATCTGTGCAGCTGGAACCTCTTCATATTAAGCAAAAGTGGTAAGTATTTTGATGGAGTACTTAAATAATGTTTGATTTTCCTTCTGTGAAAGACTGTTCTTTGTTATCTGCTAACATGTCAGAGATGAATCAGCCTGCTTTTTCATCTTTACGACAGACTTCCTGACCAGCAAACAGCGAAGTGTGGTGGCCAGATTCTAGAAACAACTTTCTTCAATGGATGATGTGTGGGAAGCCTGCTTTGTACACCTTCACTGCTGTCCCCTATTTTTAGGAATATACAATTTACTTTGATTCCAATGTTTTCTTTGCCTAAAGAAAATAGGTTTCCTCTTCCTACGAAGACATAGAAGGTTGATGCTGGTCACAGCAGTTGCCAGGGAAGGCCAATTTAAACAAAGCAGGGGGCAATTGCAATATCAAGTTGCCTTGTAAGTCTGGTGCATGAAAAGTGATACAACAAAATCTATTCTATATTACATAATTCACTTTTTCCCCCACCAGTGTGGAACTTTCCAATCTTTGTTACTGTCAGTCTGCAGCCATCTGGTGATGTTCATTAATCACAATTTGCCATAGCCTTCAGAAGTTTCACTTATACATGTCACACTGGATCTGTAAAGTGATTTTCTAGAATTTCTATGTTTTAAATCATTAAGGATATAGTTCCAAGTTACACAACATGCTCACACTAGTGCTCTGTAGTGTAGCAGGAGATGGTGCTGCAGTAGTGGAAGTGCTGTTACTTTGGATAACATGGTAAAAGTTTAAGTGGTTCTGTAGTTGAAGACTGAGCTTGACACTTCTCAAAATAAGTAGGTGAATCCTCTGTCTATTCTAATACTGCTTTTGTCAGTAAACTCATTCCAGTGTCTGTACAACACCTCAGTCCCCATTATGTTTGCCTGTACTTGCACTGTTAGTGTAATCTAACCTTTTATGATGGGAAGACACTTTAGACTGTCACAATTGTTAAAGTGACTGTAGTCCAGTGGCTTTCAAACTTTTTTTCTGGCGACCCAGTTGAAGAAAATTGATGCCTACGACCCAACGGAGCTGGGGATGAGGTGTTTGGGCATGAGGGAGCTTAGGGCTGGGGCAGAGGGTTGGGGTGCAGGAAGGGGGTCAGGGCTGGTGGTGCAGGCTCAGATGGGACTGGGGATGAGGGGGTCAGGGCTCTGGCCTGGGGATGAGGGGCTCTAGGTTTGGGATGCGGGCTTACCTCTGGCAGCTCCCACTCAGCGGCACAGCTGGGGTGCAGAGGTAGGCTTCCCACCTCTCCTGGCAATGCAGACCACACTGTACCCTCGAAGTGGCCAGCAAGTCCAGCTTCTAGGCAGAGGCGCACAAGCAGTTCTTCCCAGCTCTCACCTGCAGGCACTTC